GGAGAAGAACACCTAAAACTTATTCTAAAAACGAATATCTCTCCTATAAAAAGTATTCTCTATAGTTGTCACCTATTTGATACGAATTAGTTACGATTTTTTCATGACTCACCTTCGAAAACTGCTAGATTCCGACTCAATTAGGCACTTGAGGTATGCACACATTGAAAACAACTTTCTCAATCTGATAATAAAGGGGTAGGATCCGCTTTTTTTCTGAAAATCTCTTATAAGTTCTATTTCTCCCCAGAGAAATTTTCAGCTATCCACAATTATCCATCGGTCGATGTAGAATATCATACTGGATCTAGCAGTGTCATTAAACCTCGTTTTCGAAAAACTTCATTCGTTGAGGAATCCAAGATACTGCTCAAAAAACGACTTTTCACTAGTATCCTGCTTCTTTGATCACCCAGCCATTTATGACGTATCACGAAACTTGTTGTCAGTACATGTAAGGTAAGCGTAATGCAAAAATTGAGCAAAATTCTTTTTTAACTTGTTATACCTCGTCCGATCATATCTCTTGAAGTTTCAAAAACTTGTTTTCACGTCGAAAAATCGAAAAAACGCGATACACTTCAAAAACTCGAAAATCACTCAAATTCGAAATACTTCAAATTTTCGCATTCTGTAATAGTATATAACCTTCAAACTAATTTTTTCTTATTCCGTGTCAAAAACAGAATAAAAAACCGTGGTTTGATAAAGTTCAAAGTTAAAGGGCTGTCCAAGACGTATCTCCCAAACTGATACTGTCAAATGGCGGCACCGAATTTTGTAAATCAATCTAGTTTTTTGTATCAAAGACTACAGCCCTTATCCGCTGAAACCTCAGCTTTACAAGGATGACTCGCTTTTTTTAAATTTTCTTTCATTGCTCAGAAAGGTCGGTTTTACTAAGGACACCTATACAACGGGCAAGTCATTTTCGATTAACTGTTTAAGTTTTCGCTCAAAATATCTTTTAATAGGCTCAATTAGGTTTTAAACATAGTGAATTGGACGAAAGTATTTTGGAGACCTTCAGAGGCTTGATTTACAGAGGGTCTTGAGTAGTTTTCTAGAAAAGTTCTTCTAGAAATCCCGAAATTGTGCAGTGCCTTAGGCGGTCTGAAAAGCTTTTTGTTAGAGTATAATGTATTCAGATGTTTTATTTCTCTCTCTTGCATCATCACTCTTTTGACTTATATTTAACAGAGATATATTCACTGTATTAAAGAACGACATATTCGTTCTCTTTTCACTTACAAGGGAGCCTCCCCAAATATACTCTCATTATTTTTACAAAATGTACTGGATTGTGGATAATCAATCACGCTGATTGTAAATATGATATTTATCTGGGTTCACAGACCTTTCATAGCCGATTTTACGAGGTTTCCGAAAAACTGGTTTTCCAGAAATAGGCTATGAAAAGCCTATGAACCCAAATGAATATAGTACTTAAAGTCAGCACGGTCAATTACCCATAACCCACTACATTTTGTAAAAATAATGAGACTGCGTTTAGGGAAGTTCCCTCGTTAGTCTATTTTCGTTTGTTGATGGGAGAAAGAGAAAGCTTTTCTTTGGCGCTCCCTTCTCTTCGCATATATATACATATCTGTTTTTCTCATTATGAGAGAGGTTGAAAAATCGACCTTTTTTTGCGCCAGACGGATCGAGCTGAAATTTTGGGAAATGAATAGTGACTATTACTTATTCATTTTCTGAAAGTTTTACCTTTACACATATAATGGTTTCAAAGATAATTACTTTTATAGTTGGAGCTAAGTGAGTATCAGTTATTCTCGTTCAGCGTAGCACTTTTGAACTGCAGCAATTTTTTCGAAGAGAACCTAGTGTCTAGCATACTTCATACGAAAACTACGTGCTTTTTTCTCCCAACGATTCAAGCCGGGAGACCGCGATATTCGGATCGGGCATGTCGAGAAACGGTGTTCATCAAAGTTTCGTCTTGAAGGCAGACAAAAAGTTCCCATCGAAATTTTTGCCTGAGGTCCGTCCACTCAGGTGTTCTGCCTAAAATTTTGGACGAAAACTTTTTTTTTGAAACACATCGAATATCATTCGATGCAGTTTTTTTCGTAGATTCCGAATATCATACTGGATTTTAACAAAAATGCTTTTAAACATTTAAAAATTCATTTTTTTGCTTTTTTCCGTTCTATATTTATGTGCGATAATATCTATTGAAAAAGAAAAAAACATTTTTCCTTCTTTTTCTCCGTCTCTCTCTCTCAGATCGTCACACACGTTATAGGACTATAATGAAAATACGAAAGATATATTTAATACGTTACTGTACAAGACAAAATGGATAGTGCCTGTTTATATTTCTTTCATATATCTTCACTATGTATGTGAGAACGTTGTACTTTTATGACAAGTGGACGTGAACCGGCCGTACTAATACTGTTAAGAATGAAGCACCAACAAAAAATGAAAAGGTGGAGCAAAGATTAGGCAGAATCCACTTCTTTGTAGCCAACTTTTACAGAGAGGAGACTTCTTTCAGTTATCACTATTTTCAGAGGTTTTAAAATAAAGCTGGAAAAGTTGGAAACTAGGAGTTCGTATCAAAGACGAACTTTGCCCTGAAGTGAAGCGTTCGTTACTCATTAACCTTATTAGTTAATATTCTCCAGAAGTATCTTGAATTTCAGGAAGGTAAAGTTGGATTAGGTTTTCTAACTTGATATGGTTGTGTCTGTGACAGAATTCCTTTTACAATTAAAAGTGCATATATACCAAAATATCGTCATGAGGCTCCGTTTAAGCGCTGAGGTGTTTGATCACTTGAGAGAATCTTGATTTCTTTTATGAATCATTCGAACCTGTGTACATTTATTTATATTTTAGCGAATTCGTTTTTAAGATGTGGACCATAAAAATTGCAACCATAAAAGCGTTCGCAGCTTTTCTCGCTATCTGTTTTCAGCGTTGCTTTTGATGTTGGTTGAAGATTTCGTAAAAAAATACATGAACATGCAATCTAGAAAAGTGCATTTTAGAGATTTTCACTTCAAGAAGAAACGTTCAGCAGAATATTGTGCATTAAAACAATAGAAGTTCTGTTAATATAAACAACCCTCTTCATCTTCATCCATTTTGGGCTACATGTAGCTAGACTCGTTCTAAATTTGATGTTTTCAGTCCATGTTTATTGAAAGAGATTATTGTCATGGTGTTTTAGAAAGGAGATTACAACAAAAGAAGACAGTACACACAAAAAACGGTATATCAGACAATTCTTGAGTATATACATGAAACAGCTCAATTAAATTTTCATCAGAATATAAAAAGCTTGGTTAGTAAATAATTGTTGATACGAACTTCCGAGAAAATCGTAAATAAAACCCAAAATATAATAAAATAAAAAAACGCAATAAAATGTGTTTCAGCAATAGAGTTCTGTCGTGTTAAATTCCTCTTTTCCTCGATGTCGCATGCAGATATCTAAATGTGAGATATATCAACTTGTAGTACGTGGTCAGACAGATTACAAGCTTGAATATTCTTCTCTTTCTCTTTCATCTTGCAACAGGTCTAATATACTAGCGTTCACTATTCTATAAAAGAAGCATCTGGCATCTTGTATAAGAGAAAGAAAACGATTGTTCTCTCTTCTTTTCTGCCTTTGGTTTACGATTTTTGCGAATGGAAAAACAAGGTATAACATGAAATGTTTATTTAAAGTTAAGACAAGCCGTCTGTTTTGAACTTCTTGAATTAGTGCAATTCGCTGTCGTGAAGTATGTTTTGTGTGTGTTGTATTAAATTGAGAAATATGAAAATTAGAGGATGTTAGACGTAGAATATTAGAAATTCTGCAATTCCATCTTTCTACGATTCCTAGAATCTGAAGCTCTAATATTCTCGAATTTTACACTTCTAAAATTCTAAAATTCTTCAAATGCGAAATTATAGAATTGTGAAAGGTGGAATTCTTAAAATGTAATATTGGGCAGTTTCACTTCACCTATGTCTTACCGGATGTTTTATGTGAAAACTCTAATACTTCGAAATATTAAAATTATAGTATTCTAGTAAACTTACATACACACACGTATATCAGCACATGAATTTCTGAGTTCCTAACTTCAAATATATGCATACACACACGTATAGGAGCACATGAATTTCTGAGTTCCTAACTTCAAATATATGCATACACACACGTATAGGAGCACATGAATTTTTGAGTTCCTGAGTTCCTGCTTCAGATGGAGATAGATATACATACTTCAAAATTTATTCTTCGTTTTAGACTCTCAACATTAGTACAATTGTCCATGACACCCATTTTTTCTATGATAAATATGTTTGTTTCACTATCGTCACTCTCTCTCATTGTTCATTTCTTTATTCTTATTCCATTCTTCACCTTTTAAATTCGCGCTCAAAATCTTTCTCGATTTGCCTTCTGTCCGGTGTATACATCTTGTAGAGCATTTAAAATAGCTAGATTCATGTGAGCTACGGATAGCGCTTGTCTCTTTAAGAACCCAATATTCTACCAGTTGTACTCTGTCAAATGTTATCTCTTTTTGAAGGCATTCCTTCAGAGATAATAATTTTTTATTTTATTTTAAGTGTTCAACCAGGCACATCTGGAAAAAATCATTAAAACACGAAAACATATAAAGCAGAAAAGTAATATACATGTTCTCCTTCCTACCTGTATTTTTTGTATAACGACATTTTGAGTTTAATAATATGTTTTTAGTTTTCCGTTGTAGTTTTGAAAGAAAAAAAAGCTATATTGATTGGAAATCATGCAAAATTGATGGCTATAAATTCACATAGATCAATTGAAATAATGTTTGAAGCACCTAAATTTAAAATTATATTCGCTAAAATTGAAATTGTTTTTAAAAATCAGAAAATAATTTCTTTTGTTTTGTCTTCAATATTCATTTTGTTTAAGGAGTGAACTTCTCTCAACAATAAAAGCAAGGAAAACAATATATACATTTTCTTCCCAGGGGCATACAATGGAGCTGGCCCCGATTTACCCACATTTTCTTGCTATGTTTAAAAAAAGAATATATATACATTGTGTGAAAATTTTTCACCGATTGTGTAGTGTGAATACTGATAGTGCATGGTCTCAACCACTTTAGACAGCTTGTTCGTTTCTCATAGAAAATGTATTGATCATGCATTTTGCATTAATTTTCTTCACTGATTCTTCACTTTAACTTCTTTTACACTGATTATTCTCGTTATTATTGGGGCTACGTGTGCCTCACCTCCATTTAATATCCAACCAAAAAGACTTCAACGTCTTAGTTCAAGTTTTGGTCAACCAAAAGTTGGTCTTGATGTCTGTTCAGGATGTATTGAAGAATCTGTAGAAATAATCAACATTTTGCTCAATTTGATTCTTGATGAGGGAATTATAGAATTCTGTAATGCATTATGTGGAGCTCTTGCCAATATAACTGGTTCTGTAATTATTGGTGAACTTTGTACTGTTGCATGTGACGCAGCAGGTATTGACGAATTTATCAAAATAATTATTAAAGCTGATCTTGATCCTATTTGGTATTGTGAAATGATTGATCTTTGTCCAAGTAAGAAAAATTCATATTATTATTCTTGTAAAATTTACAAATATATTTCTTTAGTTAACGATCATGGTGATGCTAAATTTACAAATTTTGGTATTACTCCAAAAAGTGCACCTGATGGTTCAAAATTTGTAATTGACTGTTCTTTTATTAGTATTAATGGTACTGGTACCGGTACAATTAATATTGAAATTGTTGATCCTAAAAATCGATCTTCTGGTAATCTTTTTTGGTTCGAAGCCCGAAAACCTGGTATATACCCAGAAAAAATTGGTCTTCAAACATTATTTGAATTTGATTGTGATCCTACAAAAGGTATGGAGGTATTTATTTGTTTTAGTAAATGAATGATTTGATTTTCTATTTTGTTTATAGAAGTTTGTGATAATTGGCCATTAGGTACTTACAATGTTACTGCACAAGTATGCAATGGAGAATGTGGTTCACAACATCCTCATTCGTCTATTTATGATACAGCTAAAAGCTCA